AGGAGTGTCTGGCAGAGGAGGAGCAGCTGGGAAAAGACACACAGCCTGTCAGTGATGAAGAACCCCCGAGGAAGAGACGTAAGACTGAAAATGATGTCCTTGAGGAGGACAGTCAGCTCTGCCAGGGTTCACAGGGCAGCCTGGAGAGTGCAGAGGGAAGGGACTTCGATGCAGGTGCCACTGATCCTGTCACAGCAAAGGAAGCTGTAACTGGGGGTGGAGAAGCAGGTTCCCTGGGAGTGCAGGCAGAACACCCAGCTGAACTCCCAGAGCCTGCTCCAGAGGCTGTGGATGTGGACACTCACGAGGAACAAGATCAACCTTGTTCTGAGGACAAAGAATTTGAAGTGCAGAACGATGAGCTCAGCACTGAGCACAACAAAGAGATCCCCAAGCCTGAACAATCAGCCAGTGAGCAGGATGATGACCTTTCCTACTTGCAGGAGAACCCAGGAGTCTCCAAAGGTATGTGGAGCACTCTGCATCCAAGATGTAGAGGCTAGCTCACCAGCAGCTGATCCCAAATGGATAGTGCTATTTTATAAGCAAATCCTAGATTCTTTATGAAGCTATACCAGGGAGAGGTTGTCCTTTCTCACAGACAAATTGGTGTAACACTAATTTCTGGAAGGTCTTGGAGGTTTCAAATACATCAGAGATTCCTTCAAAGAATCCTTCCTGTTCCTTTTGCTGAAACGGTCACAACTATTCCAAAAATACGTTTTCCTTAGAAACTTGTTTCCATGTCTTGCTCTTCTTCAAAAATGTGTTTGGATCTGAAGTTTTTCATGTCTGGCTTCAGTCCAAAGGCCAGACATCTCTAAGCCTGGAAAGCACAGCACTGCTGGTGTGCCTATAGCTGGAATGTCCATGGCTGAAAGTCCTGAAATCCTTAAACCAGGAAGCAGCACACGCCAGGGAGATTAACAGCCTCGTTTGTAACCCAATTGGACTCCATTTTCTTTTCCTTTTTACTGCCAGTTTTCTTTTCTAATAGCCAGTAGTTCTTGCCAAGCTTTACATTAAGTAGTTTGTGGGGGATTTTATTTTGGTTTTGTTTCTATGGGCTCTGATTTCAGGCTGAATCACTGCCCGACTGCTCGTGTGGGATCCTGCCAAGCTCTGCCAGTACCCACGTTCAGAGGCAGCTGTGAATCAGTGCAGGCTGATCCCTGACATCTTAGAGCTTGGAATTGTTTAACTGGAGCCTTCCTGCAGGAAATAGATACTGTCTAAACAGCAGAGACCTCAGCAGTTCTTAAATGAAACTACCACAGTATTCTTCTGGATTTAACTTCCTTCACTTGTCTGTAGCACAGGAGAGAAAAAGTAGTAGTTCTGTTATCAAACATAGAGTTCTTACTGGCCAGTGAAGGGTTTACATGTGCTTAAGGCAAAGCTGTTCCCCTCTGGGTATGGTAGGAATACCTCTGTTAAGTAATTGTCTAATTAAAGCCCATGACATAATGTAATGGGAGTAGCAGAGACAACCTTTGCTTTGAAACTGAGCCCTGCCGGAATCCTGAGTTTGCATTCTCATGTCTGCAGCTACTTGAGCTCCTGCTCAGCTTCCATGTGATTCCCAGGAATTTGGGTTAACCAGACCCACGGGGGAGCTCTCAGGCTGAGACCCTGCACAGCTCCCTGTGCCACTCAGCTCTCTCAGCCCATGCAGTCACCTGGGTCCAGCCATGTCATCAGACTTGTAGGAATAAAGCTTCTTGCTGGGATTTGGGAAGGGAACCACAAAAGGTGTGCTTGAGTAGAGAGATGTGGTTGTGGCAGGAGGTGTGGGAGGAGGGTGCTGCAGGCAGGTCAGGGGCAGCTCAGAGCTCCCCACAACTGAGCATAGTTTGCTCGGGTGGTTTCCTAACAAGCTGTTGCACTTTACAGCTTGGCCACCTTTTACTCTTTTTTCCACTAGATAAGGAGTTGGAGTTAATTAGAAAATATGTGTCCTTTTCTTTGCAGGCAGCTCCATGACAGATGCCCCCCAGGCAGCCAGGGACCGGTGAGTAACAGGGCTGTCTGCAGAATAACTAAACACTTGGCACTCCCAAAATAATACTGGAAGCAGCTGATTTGGAAACCTGAGTTTTGTGCTCTGGTGGGCAGTGAGAATTGATGATGGAGAAACCCCAGGTCTTCCTCCCTTGTTCGTGTTACTCACACTCATATGCATGCTGGAAAAATTTCTCTGATACGTGTTTTTACTCCAAAAGCAACTGGCTCCAAATATCAGAGGGAAAAAAAATGATTTTACTTCATAAATAAGTCCAGTGCCAGAAAGCCTCAACTTTCAGTTGCCTAGGAAGGGCCTGGATGAACTGCAATATGAGAAATGGGAATCTCCATGCAGGGTCTGTCTTTTGACTCCACAATGCTACTGAAAATGAGGATTTTCTTTCACTATTAGAGATTGAAGCAGGTCTTGGATAACTTTTGGAGGATATTAGGGCCAATACCAAACAAAGCTTTCCTAGTCAGAGACTCAGGGTAACTGCTGGTTGTGTAATGGTGCTAAAAGTGGTGAACCCCTAGTGAAATCCTGCAGGTCTGGAGCTGTCTGGTGGATCAGCACCAGGCCCTGCTCAGAGCAGCCACAGGATTTACACCTGTGAGCAAACACTGCAGTTTGGAGTGCAGGATGGAGTGAGTCTCTGTAATGCAGAAATTCTGATGGGAGATCTAACTAGATGAACTCCTGACAGAGCTGAGCTTTAATTGTGTTCTGCAGGGCCTGTGAGGATGTCTGCTTCATTGGGAGACCGTGGAGGATCGTGGATGGGAACCTGAACAAGCCTGTGTGCAAGGGGATGATGGAGGCTGTGCTCTGTCACGTCATGACAAAGCCGGGCCTGACGGAGGCGACGCTGCTGCAGCATTACAGTGGGGTGCTGCAGCCCGTGGCTGTGCTGGAGATCCTGCAGGTACCTCAGCCACTCTGGGAGCTTTAATCCAGCTCAGCTTCCACACCAAGAGCCAGCAGATCCATTGCTGGGAGTCCCAGGAAAACAGGAGTATGAATGAACCATGAAAAACCACCTTCTCCCTTTGGTGTAAATCAACCAAAGCCAGAGCGAGTCAGTGTTCACAGTGAGGAAGGAGGGAAGCCTCCATCCTTGGAGTCACCCTGTTACTGAGTTCAAAATTTGAGCTTGCTTCTGAAATGGGTCTACAGGGAGTTGAAATTTTAGGTGGTTACTGACGAGTGGGGGCTTCTCACTGTGAAATACTAAGTGGCTGTTTAATGCAGTGCTAATCATAGGATCACAGAATGGTTTGGGTTGGAAGGGACATTAAAGATCATCTGGTTCCAACCCCCAACCACTGTAGATAATCCCAGTGTTCCTAATGTTTTTCCTTATGTACCTTCTAGATGGGCAGTCTTTGAAGTAGGAACCAGACTGAGATGTGTCTGTGCTGTGTGTAAATGAGACCTTCTGTCCTGACACACCTGCCTGAAGGCCCACATCCTTAACTGTGAAACAGTACATGGCAGGAAAATTTTGAGTTTATCTTATGTATTTTTTTCCCATCATGAAGTTTGATTGCCACCACTGCTACTCTGGAAATTAAATCTTGACTTACATTTTTTTTTCCTATAAGAATTCAAAATCTTAAGTGCAGCAGTGACACTGCAGCCCTTCCTGTAAGCAAGACTTCCCCTGAGGGGCTCAAGGGAAGCCACTTTTGGTATAAATTGCCCAGCATTTCTGAGAACACCGTAGGTAGAGCAGCATTCAGGGCATTTTTTTTTTCCCCACTGCAACTGCCCACACTAAAATATGTGAATTTTTCCACAGGGTCTGGAAACTCTGGGTTGTGTCAGACGATTCTACCTGAAAAAGCCATCCCCAGTGTCACTCTTCTCTCAGCCAGTTGTGGAAGAACAACTCAACAATCCCAAACTGAGTGAAACCCCAACGATCTACTACGAGCCCACGATAGACTGTACCCTCAGGCTGGGGAGAGTGTTCCCCTCTGAAGTGAACTGGAATAAGTGGGTGCAGATTATCCCTGTATAGGAGGTAAAGCTGAGTCATATCAAATTGGCTTAGCCTGTAGGAGGGAGCATTAATGCAGATGAAACGCTGCAATTTTTGCTCCATCGTGTTTTTATTAAGTTATTTATCCTTTTTACTTCTGAATGTATTTAAACTGAGAATAAAGTCTGATGTTAAGACAGAAGTAATGTGTGATCCTGCTTGAAGTATATTATCTTTTCACCAATAACTGCTTGCAGGGTGTATAGTTTGTGGTTCCTGATTTAACTTAGGGCGTTTCCACAGGTCACAGCAAAGGTCCCATTTTGGATTTTTCCTCTCTGTAACACAGAGAGCACAGTTTTGCATAGAGAAACTGTAAGGTTATAGATGAACACCTAGTAATTATGGATATTACATCTTGAAGGCTTTTAAAACCCTTCCAGTAAGGATTCCATTCTGTTCAAAGTAGTTGAAAGACTCAGGGTCTCTAAGAACAATGTAGTTCATTGCACTACATAGTATGCAAACAGCTCGTTTTGCTGCTAGACTCCCTAGCTCTGAATACTGAAGCTGTGTTTCCACATTCACAATTCTGCCTTTATAGGTGTTGAATTTTATTTCAACAGACAGTATTAAGTTTTATATTTCCTTTGTTACTTCAAAATCCCTCTGCCATTTTTCTTATACGATCGGTAAAAAAATCTGTAACGCAAGAGAGGAAACGCTTCACCTTTGCTTTGCCTTCTGTGCCGTGGCACAGCAGCTGGCTCAGTGCTGGGGTTTCATCACCACCCTTCAGCTTATTCACCTTCAGGCCCGCCTGCATTCCCAGCACTGGTTCCTTGGTGTGCAGGGCACGAGTCTCACGCTGTGTGCTCTCACCCCTGAGTGTGTGAGCTGAGGGCCTGCCCGGGGCCGCCGCACAGGCAAAACACCCTCTTGGAGCCTGTTGTTCCCAGCTGTGCCCGCGGCTCGGAGCAGGGTTAAAGCAACCACGCAGCAGACGGTTCGTCGCACCCAGTGCCAGGTTTATTGCAGCGGCGGGACCCCCGCGCCCCATCCCCGCAGCCCCCTCAGTCCCGCCAGCGGTGCCCGCACTGCGGGTTGCAGCACTTGTAGAACGTGGTCATGGGCTCGTCGGCCGAGCGCGTCTGGATCTGCATGAAGTAGGCGCGGGGGTGCTCGCACTTGGGGCACGGCTCTGCGGGACAGAGAGAGCGCCCGTGAGGGCAGGGCAGGGCGGACCCGACCCCGCCCGGCCCCTCCTCGGCCCCCCGGCCCGGCCCTGACCTGCCGTGGAGTCCACGTTCTCCCAGGCCGCGGCGCCGCCCAGCACATCGTCCACCTCCTTCAGCCGCGGGTACTTCCTGCTGGTCACCTGCGGGACCGGGAGCGGCTCAGCGGGGACCGCGAACCCCCCGCCCCGGGTCACCCCCCCTGGCCCCCCGGTACCTTCCTGGTGACATTGCGCACGTAGGGGCAGGTGGTGCAGGCGAAGCGGTGGCAGCGCGGCCCCTCCTCGGCCACCAGCACGTTCCCGCAGGCCGGGCAGAAGAGCAGCATCGCGGGTTCCGCCGCGCCCCCCGCCCCTTCCGGCGATGGCGGCGGCGGAGGAGCCGGCGGAGGAGCTGGCCCAGGAGCTGGCCCAGGAGCTGACCCAGGAGCTGGCCCAGGAGCTGACCCAGGAGCTGGCCCACGCCGAGGTGCTGGAGCTGTTCCAGGCGGCGCTGGCGCGGCTGGTGCAGGACCCGCTGCTCTGCGACCTCCCGCCGCAGGTGGGGCCGGGCCGGGCCGGGGGCGCGGGGCGGGCGGGGCGCGGGCTCACGAACCCCCCGGGCCCCCGCAGGGGACGGCGGAGGAGATCGGCTCGCAGGTGGCCCTGGAGTACGGGCAGGCCATGACCGTGCGGGTCTGCAAGGCGGACGGCGAGACCGTGCGTGAGTGCGGGGCCGCGGGGCGGGCGGGGCTGCGGGGCGGGCACGGCGCGGGCTCTGAGCGGGCTCTGAGCGGGCTCTGAGCGGCCGTGCCCCCGCAGCCGTGGTGGTGGTGCAGAACGCCTCGGTGCTGGAGCTGAAGAAGGCGCTGCGGAGGCACTTCCAGCTGCGGCAGGCGCGGCAGGGCGGTGTCCAGCACCTCAGCTGGTGAGCGGGGCCGGGAGCGGGGTCTGGAGCGCGTCCCAACCCTGTCCCGCTCTCCCGTGGCTCCCCCTGAGTGTTTTTCCCCCAGGAAGTACATATGGAGGACGTACCACTTGACCTACGCTGGAGAGAAGCTGGCGGATGACAGAAAGAAGCTGCGAGAGTGAGTTCTGGGTGTGTTCTGGGGGGCTGAGAGGCCCCGTGGGTGCCCTGCAGCATCCCCACAGGCGGGGCTGAGGCTGTGCCCTGGCTCAGGGGGGTCCTGCGCTGGGAGGTGGGACAGGCAGACTGAGAGGCTCCCTGCAGGACAGGATGGCCTTGGGGGGGTTCCTCAGCCATCACCATCCTGTGCTGTGCTTATCCAGTTCAGACCACCCCAGGCACTGGGACTCACAGCTCTTGATCATCCCTCCCAAACTCCTGCACAATAGGTGACACTCAGCCTTGCAGAGCTGCTGATTTGGAACAAAGGAGGAGGGAATAAGAACTGGCACAGGTTGCCCAGGGAGGTAGTGGATGCCCCAGCCCTGGCAGTGTTCAAAGCCAGGTGGGACAAGGCCTTGAGGAAGCTGGTCTAGTGGGAGGTGTCCCTGCACGTGGCCCAGGGGGGTTGGGACAAGATGATCTTTAAAGTCCATTCCAACCCCTTAACATCCACGGAGAATGCCAAGGAAAGAGCAAACTAAGGATATGTGTGTTGATCTTTGGACCTGCTCAGCCACCTCTCAGAGACAATCTGCTAACAACACTGGCAGGTGACTCCCACATTTCCATGCCCATTCTTGGGAATGAGGAGGGATGAAGCACTTTCAAGCATTCTGCTGTTCCATACAGCAGTGCTGGGTGTACCAGCCTGTGTGCAGATCAGTGAGAAAAGGTGGTCTGAAGTATTACAAATTTAGCAAGACAGCAAAGCTGACCTTGGAAGACCAAGCAATGGGTGACAGATGTGGCATTTAAGGGGTGGTTGGAGGTAAAGGAAGATGATCAGATCCTTCAGGGCTGGCAGCATGGGAGAATTTTACTGTGTCCTGTGATCATAGGAGTCCATCTGCCCCTGGGAAAGAGGAGACTATAGAATTTCAAAGGTCGTTTTTCCTGGGAAACTGGCATATAACAGCATAACTCTCTGTTCAGGTATGGCATCAGAAACAGGGATGAGGTCAGCTTCATAAAGAAGCTTCGGAAGTGACCTGTTGGGTAAGTCCTCTATGTTCTTCATCTTTTTCCCTGGGCCATGGTGTTCAGGCTCAGAGCAGCTGCTGTTGCAGAGCGTTCCTGCATGAGGCTGTGGCCTGTTTCCATATCCTGGTGGTGGTGTTTGTGCTCCTCTCAGGGTAGGGAGTGATAATTCAGCTGTTTTGGGTAGCACACACACTGGGAGCAGCAGCGGGGATGTCTCAGTGCTGGCAGTGGCGTCTCTAACTCTGCTTTGTTTAGACTCTGAATCTGCTCTCACAGTGTCTTGAGATTCATTAAACATGTTACTTTGCTGGGATTGCTTCTAGGACACTGCTTTCTTTTAGGCTTCTTAAATGTCTGGGAATCTCTGTCAGGAGCGTGGCTGGATGCTGATGAATCCCTGGGAGGAGGAATGTGTCTGTATGACAGATGATGGTCATCACCAGGGCACTCAGGTCCTTCTGAGAGTCTCAGACTGTAATCCCTGAGTTCCTGCTCTCCCAGCCTGCTCCTCCCACTCCTGTGCCACCCTGAGCACCTGCAGCCAACAGAAATGTCCCTCTGGTGCACCCAGGCAAATGCAACGAGCAAACACAGCGTGTTTGTTGCTGTGCCACAGTGGATGTGTATCGAGCCCTTCTTCTCAATTACTGCAAGCTGTGAGGAATTAGGAAAGGGACCTCAGCTTACATAGCCTGTAGTTTTTGACTCCCAGTTTATCCATTTCCTGGTTTATAGAAACTTGAGTTCAGCTGATTCACTGTTCTCAGGAGACAGGACACATTGCTGGGCAACTTTTGGTCATAATATTTCTGTGCAGCTTATGCCTCTAAGAACACTTCCAGCACAGGAAGCATTAGCAGCCACATGTATGTACCTGTTTGTAACTCATGCAGACGTAATACTGCTATTTTTAGAAAGCTGTGCATGCAAACACAAGATGTGGCCAAGATTCTCAAGCTTAGTGAGTTTAAAATTATGTCTCTAAAAACACGATCACGGGGCCAGAAGAGCAATGGGAAGAGCAGCTTGTGCAAACCTTTGGGTTTTTGTTTTGCTGCTCCAGGTAGCTCAGTTAGAAACTGTTGCTTTGTGACCACAGTAACCTTTTCTTCTTCTTCCAACATTTGCAGCATCCACATATGTGCCCTCCGAGCAGCCACCTGTGGCACTGGCTGATCCCTCCTGGACAGTCAGGGCAGTGTGGTGGTAAGAGCCCAGCATGCAGCAACCATTTTCACTGCCAAATATTTTCTTTCCTTAACAGAGAGAGAGAGCAGACAAACCAGCCCTACCAAGACCAGACTGTGGATTCAGCACTTTCCTGGAGAAGAAGGTTTAACACTCCGAAGAGGAGCGAACTCCGTTGACTGGACATTCTCACGTGTTTTTTGTGGTTGTTGTTTGTATGTGGAATGCAATTCCAGGGATTAAAGAGACCCTCTAGTTTTCTGAAGCTTTTCAGGCCCTTATTTCCAGCTGCAGATCTGCATCTGGCTGGTTTTGGTGCTCAAAGGGGATTGATTCTCCTGGGACATGGAACAGTGTAAGTGAGATTAAGTAATAAACGTAGGCACAGACTATGCAGAACAATTAACAGTAGCTAAAACGCTACCTCACTGTTTAATCACCACCTTAGCAGTAGTAAACAACTCTGGTTAAAAATGTAGTATTGAAACTAGTGTAATAAAAATAATGGCAGCAGAAAAGGTTCAATACAATTGAACAAGGCACAAACGTTCTGTTTTCAGAGTCTTCTGAGATAAGGCAAAACATGCCTGCCAAGTGCTAAGGAGACAGTTTAAATTAACCACGGGCAGGGTTAGAAGTGTCACTGGATTAGAGGCTTTGTCCCCATGGAACTAGCACAGCAAGTGCAAAGACAGTCCATCTCCAGGGCCTGCTCGAGAGGCCAGTCTTTGCCTTTCAGTGGAGCTGCGCGTCCAGGTCGTATTTCTCGCAGAATTTGTCTGTGAATGGTATACAAGTGAGGAACTCGCACCACTCGCACTTGATGGGGTAGAAATAGAACAGAATCACGAGTCCTGAGAAGAGTGCAATGAAGATGAGCTGGAAAACTATAATTTGGCACCGTTTCCTATATAAATCAAACTTCCCAAAGCTAATGTAGGGCAGGAAGGCAAAGGAGAGGAAGAATCCGCTGATAAATCCTGAAATGTGAGCGAAATTATCAATCCAAGGCAGGAGGCCAAAGGCAAAAAGAAAGAGCACCACAGCCAGCAGCTTGAAGAAAGCCCTCCATGGGCGTGCCAGGATTTGCCAACTCTGGAAGAGCTCCACAAAGAGACAGGCCAGAATCCCAAACTGGGATCCTGCAGGGCCAACCTGCAGAAGAAGAGCATTACAGATAAGGTCAGGCTCGTGCTGTCTCCCTGGCCTCTACAGCCAGCCCCAGGCATCAGTTACTTGTTACTCAACTCCTTGTTCAGTGTTTCTTGGGGAAGAGACACCACAGCCTTCAACTTCATCCCTGTAATGGGGTGCAAGGAGTAAAGGGGCCTGGTTGGATTTAGGGCCAAGGTGTGAGGCCAGCAATCCCCAGAACAGACTTTGTATTTAAGGAGGGCAGATCTGGTTTAAGTTGTCAGAGAAGAGAAGCCCTTGAAGGCAATCCCCTGGCTCCCCCCACCCACCATGCACTGTTCCTTATGGAAGGACCTGGAAGATGGTCCTGCCATGCAGTCTTCTGTGGGCAAGCTGAGCTCTGCCCTTTGCCCCTCTCATGCCACTCTCACATGGAGGGTCTCTGGCACCAGCTACAGCGCTCGATTCCCAGCCTGCCCGAGGCCTCTCCTACCCCATGGCTGGCAACTCCCCATTTGTTATGGGGCAGCTTTCTTCCTGCAGCCAGCCCAGGCCAGTGACTGGGAAAGCCCAGGGTGCTCTGGGGGATGTTGCTGCTGATAGTGTAGTGCCATCTTCTACCTCCCCATGTGCCAAGGCTGCGCTGCAGGGATGAGCCAGCTCTGGCATCTCTGCCTCTGCCCCAGAGACACAGCCACGGAGAGGAGGGTTGTGTTCAGGGCAAGTTACCAGGACCCTGGTCTGCAGGAGACCCACCTCTGCTCTGTAGGGTAGAAATATTGCACTGGCAAGGTTCCCAGTGATGCCACTGAGAAGGTAGATGATAGAGATGCGGTGCCATCCTGCCAGCTTCTCCAGGTCCCGCAGGATCGTCATTTGGAAACAGACTGAAACCAGACAGTGCAGGATCCTGCCAAGTGCAGAGTATAGGAGCTGAAGCAGCAGCCACTGAAGTCACCCCTGTGCTCGTGTTCTGTCCCCAGCCTTGCTGAGAGCTCCTGCT